GACTCACGATGTGTAAGTGAAGTTGTTGCAAGTTCTTTCTTGAAGTACGTTTGTAGTTTGTTAGGAGACTATCCGCATCTTTTAATCGATGGTGATCCTGTTTCTTTGTCACTGAAGAGTAACCATACTTCCTCTCAACAAGATGAATTCGATAATCTAATGCTTTCAAAAGTGAATACAGATATTATTGAAACCTTAGTTTGATTCATTGATATGTGCTGTATCTTTCTATTTCTCCTACTTTAATTTCTTCTCTACTTACAGTTATTCTATTTTGAAAGTTAGTATACGTCTGTGAAAGCAACTTTCATTGAAAAAATTAGGCTAGTAATGATTTTGGCTGTTAACTTTTGTTATACTGACTATTAATTAGAATTCTTATTTGTACTGCCGTATCATGGATAAATACATAACTAATAAAGTAAAAGTAACTTACTAACCCTCGTGAATAAATAATATTTATTTTTCTAGATAATACATATGAGTTATGCACTTGGGTATTATTACTGAATTTTATTAGAATTAATGACAGGGCGGATGATCATTATCAGGCAGTAAAGAAATCCTTATATTTAGTTTGGAAGTGACTGGTATTGAAGGATAATCTCGTCCCTAAAATCATAGTCTCTATAATAAAAACACGTATCGTCAATTCTCATTATTCCTACATAATGCAAGAAGTAAAGGAAAAGTTGCTAGAAATTATCAACTAAGGGGTTTTTACGTAAAATAAGTGACGAAAAAAGTCAGCATATTTCCCAATACCTGTCATGTGGTTCGTTCTCACAGTTACACTCCAGGGAACTGATAAGTCTTGCAAATTGAACGCTATATTCGGTTCCTAAGCTATTCTCGTAACCCCCAAGCTAGAAATACACAGCGTCCTGAACACGAGAGGAAAGGCGCGAAATATGCGAGAAGCACTTTACCCCAAAGGTTCGTTTTAGTACAGAAAATATAGGGTTTTTATAGTATTGTAGATGTCCTTGAGTTTCTGGAGTGCTACTAAACATAGTAGCAGTATAGTAATCAGCCAATCAGAAACTCTACATGTGACTCTTCACTTTCTTGATGTTTCTGGCTAAACTTCTGGTGAACGCTGATTGGACAAAATGCTTCTTATTGTTTCCTGAGCCTTTCTTGTCTTTTGAGAGAAGTTTTTTGGATCGCCTCAACAGGAACTTCACTAATATTCTCATCGACCGAGCTCTCATTTGTATGTAGTTGAGTCCCCGACCGTTGTTGCTACCTTGACGCGGTGGTCGGGCTTGCCTATCGTGATGAAGCAACCGAGTTATACTGGCTGGAACAACCGTTCCTCAAGGTCCTACCATGTCAGACAGGTCGGTTGAAGAGCGGTAAGACTAAAAGCAACAAACCCAAGGTCCGAAGGCCAAGTCGTACTGCTGACTGTACAGAGGTGTGATAGCAGTAAGGTGTTCCCTTCAGACAACCAGCATGACAGCGATGCTGCCTTCCCACAAGGAGGGGTTGGGTTAGAAAAGATCGACCCTAAAAGTGCACACCTCGCCTTATCCCACGATATCCGTCTCCGGCGGTAAAATCTCAACAGGTACGGAGCTAACACAAAAATTACCCATAAAAAGGTCGTGCGTGACCGACCTCAAGCAGCTGACCCTTGGGCACTGCAGTCACACTCTCAGATCACTAGGACCACCTCTAATCTAGTTTTCTTTTCAGGTACCTCCAGAAGAACCCTTCCACGCTGCGGGCGATCGGGAAGTGACAAACGACCTCACATCATCTTTCGGCGAATCTCTGCTTACCCACAGTCAAGAGTAAATATTGACTTATCGAATAACACAGATCAATAAGCCACGAGTGCACTAAGCGAATTGGAACAAAAAAGTTAATTCTAGCGAGCGCATTATGAGTTCAACAAAAAGTCGGATGGGAAAGCGATACGAAGTGACTATTGTTGGGAAAGAAATGAAGGAAGAGAAAGCAAGTGAACCAACTCACTTTGATAAAGCGAGATTCAATATTTGTAGTCAGACAAAAACAAGCTACAGACGTAATGAATAGGGTTAGTCAACGAACAATCGACAAGGTCAAAATGTGACTCAAGAAGAATGTTATTGTTATTGTACCTAAGCGGCCCGTTAATCTAACTCCGATTTGAAAGGATGGATGGATATGCCGTGAATGGGAATCTTCAACTTTGTATATTATACCTAAACTATCCCCGTTTGTGCGACAGCGGTATTAAGCCAAATTCAAATTGAGTCGAATTATTTTTTCCGGCGCTGGTTTATTCGGACGGACGGATATTAAGAATGAGAAGTGGAAAAGAAAAACAAAGGGGAAGGCAAGTGTGATAACACCATTTGACAAAGCATGACTCAATATTTATAGCCAGAAAAATAAGCTAAAAGCATGTAATAAATAGGGTAAGCGATGCAAAGAACCACTCATATAAAAGTATGATAAGCGAATAGTTGACAAGGTGAAAATAAGACTCAAGAAGAATAAATAAACTGCTCTGTCCGTAAACCAGAATAACCTGTGTGGGCTTTCTGATATCTGGACGAAGAATAAGTAAATACCAACCGCTGGGATCTATTTGTGGATTATTATTGTTATATTCTTATCGAGTAACTATTAAGTAATTTTATTATGTGTATATTTATATTCCTTTTATCATAAGCTTTCATTTGACTTATGGACTACTATTATACGGTTTACTGTGTGGCGCATATATATTTGGTGCCATCGTGTACCAATATTTATATCTTCAAATAAATAAAATACGGTTTACTATCCTTATGTTATTCCCAGTTTATTAGTGACAGTCTCTCACAGCCACATTTTGGCTTGATCCTGTATAATTGTTATTTTTTGTTTTATGACGTAGTCTGGTTTGCTTGTATATAAACCAAGTATGTCTGGGAAATATTATTCATACAGTGCAAGTTGATATTGGCATTCTGGACTCAACTGACAGGGCTACGCGAAGATCAATAAGGACTCTAGACTGCTCGTACCGGTCAACGCGTCATTGGCTTGGGGTAAACATTTATTGCACGGCCATTTTTGTATTTTTTTTCGAGTGAAATTTTTTTTCGTCCCTTTGGAAAAAATTTTCATCCCCATCTTCCAATAATTCATCCAATCAAATAACTAGTTTTGAGTTCGTTATAATTGGTCGTTTATTTGTTCAACTCTATATAAAATATCAGGACATGACGACAGAGCACATTTTCTTACAATTATTATGGACGGTAGTAGCATGCAGAGCACGAGCTCCGTCGTTCATCATGTTGTCACAGAAACCGATAACCTGTTCGTTCTTGAGCACATTGTATCTCGTTCCAATCTCTTGAAGCGTTGAAGAGCGCCATTAGAACGTATGAAAGAGCCACGTACAGCCATTATGTGGTGAGGGATTCTCATTTACATAGAGATCGGAAGTCCTATATTAGATTCAAAACTAGTTATTTGATTGGACGAAACAGAATGAAAATTATTGGAAGATGGGGATGAAATTTTTTCCAAAGGGACGAAAAAAAATTTCACTCGAAAAAGAAATACACAAATGGCCGTGCAATAAATGTTTACCTTGGCTTGGTACAGTGCTAAGACTGCACAAGTCGTGTTCTGATTGACGAATAAGTCACGTGATAATTAACAAGGCCACAAGTCAGCAGATAGAAACCATGTAAACAGCTTTTGAACTAAAGTTGGATTGTATAAATTTCGAGCTGAAGCCAGTAATGAGTTTTTTTTTTCTGTAAAAACGATACGATATGTTATGAAAATTACACTGAGGCTCCACGTTTCTGTAACAGAAATTTACAAGGAAACGTCGAAATTAGGAAACAAATTGGAGTATCAGTTTTGCGCACTCGATAACATAACACGCTTGAAATGTTACTATATAATACACATATTATACTTATATTTTGTTACTTGAGATAATTTTATCAGTTGGATTGATCTACGATATGAATTGTCGAGTAGATGCGGTATCATTGATAAACCTTCTAACATCTAACACCAGGCACAATATATATAATAATCTGTAGGCAAGGTTGCCTAATCCCATGATTTGCCATCCATGATATTTGGAAACTTTTATTAACGAAGTACATTGTGACGTGATTGGTTTCATCTTACTGTGTGATGATATACAACGTATTCAAATGTTACTCAATGTATATCACTGATACGCAAGTGTCTAAACAATAGTAGGCAATTGTATCTGTAGCAAATGCTGATGTAGATCGTCATCCATACATTGATACTAATCCTTGCCCAACTAGTGTACATTGATTACAAGATTACTATTTTTGAGTAAGACCAACATCTTTCATTATATAAAGTAATGCAGTGTGGTTGGAGAAGCTAGAAGTCATTTTCGAAATAAATGGGTTGAACTTAAAACGCTGACTTCGGTAAAGTAGATGCGACTAACACTAAGCAGCTACCGTACTTATTATAGCTGGTATATATTAAGATCTGAAACCAATAAATCACGATAAGATGACTGTCTTGTGAACATTTTAATCGTTTGTTAAAGCCACGAAAACGAGTAAGTAATTGAGCGAGATTGGTGACTTTGGTTAACTATAATTGAAGCAATAAGCTGCTCAAAAATGTTGTAAATCAACCTCCTAACATTTATCCAGTAAGACTAGAACAATAAAATAATAATTGTCTATTAAGAGTAGACCACATTTAGCCTCACCGTCAAGCTCTATTTGTGATAATTATTTTACATTACAACCAACTTCAGGAATAACTAACAACATAGGAAAAATATTAATGAACTATTATAAGAATGTAACAATTACGAAACGTACTATATTTCCACTTAACATACAACGATAATGTTTATATTTTGAGAGAAAAGGTGATAAATTACAACATAACATGCCTAATGTATTTAAACACTTGAAGAAAAAAACCAAATTGAATGAAGGGTAAGTTCATGAAGCGAAAATGTTGGTTTACGGAATAAACATTTCATAAATAATTGTTTAAAAGTCTTCATCATCAGGATCATCATCGACTGCGTCATTATCAGAGTCTTCTTCATCCTCTTCTTCACTATCATCAACCATCATAACACGTTTATGTGAGCGAGCTTTCCTTGGTGGTAGGAGAGATTCGACAGTTGATGTGTTGATACGTATGGATTCAACAACAGAAACTGTTCCTCTAGATTCAGTAGCAGATAACGAACGGGGATGATTATGAGATCCAGGTGGAAGATGTGTTTTTGAGATAACAGAAACGGAACTGTTTGTTGTACGAGATATACAATACGTTGGCTTACGTGACATGCGTCTCGCTTTGCTACTGAAAGAACTTCGACTGGCACTGTCATCTACCCAGTGAGAAAAAAACCCCACCAGAATCAAGTAGAAATATATGCATGGGTCATTTTATATATAAATATACAAGCGATGATTTGTTTGAGGCAGATAACTAATCAACAGTATGCGACTAGATGGTCGGTTAGTACACATGAGACCCAGTTATTTCTTCCCATCAAGACGATAGAGAACGGAACAGCGAAATATCTGTTCGTGTGCACTACTGATAGAATAAACAGGCTACATGGGTATTTATATGTCAGCTGATTATTTTATAGCACTTTCCTGGTAACTAGCATTAATTAATTTATTCATGTCAAAATCTCGTACAACCACTAAAAATAGAAAGTGCCACGCAAAACAAAATTTGTGTGTTAGTGTAGTGGACGCTATTCACAAGGATGCTTGTAATTAGTGTGTAGCAAAACATGGTGTTAAAGTTTCAACAATTGTCGGGCAGAGTGAAGATTTTCAGTGCACTGAAAGCACGGCGTTGGCAGAACACACCAACAGATGCAAATGGACGAATGAAGGCTATGGATATGTATTATGTAAATACTTTGTAACTTCCTGCAATAAAGACACATCCTATCTATTGTCGTGATTTACACTGGAATAATAACAAAGACACTAACAAGACCAGGTTGTTTTCTTAAGAGCCCCGAGTTGCTGCCTTATGGTATCTAGTGACCAAAAGTAGGTCCATAGGCCCTTCGTTCTCTCAGGGTTTTAGAGCCCAGTGGTTTAGAATCAAGGTTTTTAGATCTATTAGGTAAACTCTCTATATCGACCAAATCGATTTAAACAGCGGGTGTTTACCTCGTATTCTTTCATTTTCGAAAAAAAAAACACGAGATATGACTGCAGTATGAGAGCCCTTCAAGGGGACAGAAAGTAGACGCTCCCCATTCTCGGCCCTAACGGGACATAACTAAGAGGTTATAATATAGTTTGAAAGATGAATGGAGTGCTTTTTCGCAAGAGTTTTCCTCGTTAAGTAATCACTACTGAGTGAAGATCTAGTATAGCAGCCAAAGTCTGAGCGTTGACCTCTCAAGTACGTATGGGATCCTAAAAACAATAACAAACCCTCCACTTTGTGGTTGTACTATTAACCACCAACAATACCGCCATCTACTCATCACATTTTTCTCGGAAAAAACTAATAAAGCTTCCCCACTAAAAACCTAGTACTACTGAGAATCTTACCATCATCCATTGGATCATCCATAGTATCTTCCTCATCATCTAAATCATCCAACCCTCCAAGACTATCCTCATTCATTGAATTATCGGGGATATTTTGCTGACCATTTCCACCTGTATTACCGGTTACATCGGTAGCTGATGTGTTACAGACAACATATCGTGGTCCTGTCGATATAGGTGCATGTTTTGACGTCTCACTTGGCTCATCTTCATCGTCTTGTTCATCTTCTTCATCATCTTCATCGTCTATAGTAACATGCCTATGTTGACTAGAGTAACTATTGTACTGACTTGATTGACGAGAATCAGATTGTTGACGTGATTCAATTTCTTCCAATCTTTCTCGAGCATTAGTCCAAACTGACTGCAATACCACTGAGTCTTCAAAGATCTTTTCGAAGAAAAATAGCATAGTTTAATCTATCTGATAACAATTATAAAACAAACATATACCGATGTTTGAAGATGAGTAAGGCATTCTACTAATTGAATATATATATGGAATTGTACTTTAGTAATAAAAGAGAAATGACTATTAAACGGTTCAGTAGGAATGATGTAGAATTTCACAAAAATGAATAAACTCCAATGTTAGCGGGACATAGATTGGATTAAAGCATGATCAATTCACGACTGCTTTGGTACACACTGATTGGCTAATTCTTACCCAATCAGCGCTAGCGATAGTTGGAGAATGATCTAGAAATTTCATGTAAAAACTATAAATACACTAACGTTTTTCCTAATGTGCTTCTTAATTCCATCTAACCTTGTCATTTGAAATATAATCTCTTTCCTGTTCAACCGTGTTCTGATTTGGGGACTTGTCGAGTGAATTGGTGTCCGAGAATACTAAGCAGTAGGAATAGCTGGGTTGTAATAAGAGAGAATTATAACACCCAATGTAAGCAAGTTTCGCAGAGATACAAGTGGATATTAACAAGAAAATGAATACAAATTGGTAACAGAATTAATAAAGAACCACAGGTAGACAGGAGTGAAATAAAAGGGAAGAGATTATGTAAAATTAGTCAGTTAGCCACACGCAACGCAGAACGTGGCACATGTGTTTGTCGGTTCAATTTGCATCTACCAGGGTACAAGTCTATGCACTTTGTCATAAACTGATGTCACACTGTAAGTCTCTAATAAAAAAGGAATCTTTAAAATTAGGAAACCATCTTACAACGGAATTTCAGATCTGACCTCAAAAAATGTGATAATTACTTCAGTTCGCATAACTAACCACAAAAGCGCCCAAAACATGAGGACCAATAAACAGTTCTATTTCTAGATCATGAAATATAATATTCAGTCCAATTTTTAACAACTTAATTAGATTCAGTAATATAAAACAAGGCTGTAATAAACTTATCGTTCCATTTAAGATGTGATGCGATGGCTGAACAATCGACTGTTCGCGGAACGAGGCATAGAGCTTTATTGACTACCCTTTGTAAATAAATACACATAATACCAAGTTTGTGAACTTTATTTCTTATGGAAAGTGAATAGCACTGCTTCTCTATAACTTAACAATAAAGAAAATACAATAGTTTTCAGGGTAAGGTGAAGACAATAGAAAACGCTAAGTATAACATGAAGAACAAAATTATGAACAGACTCTTGATTTTTATCTACTGTACGCTCAACACTAAGGTCACATTCAAATAAACTTTGTTCCGTAACTTAATCACACATATAACTTACTAGACTTCCATCCATATTATATGTTTGAGCATTTTTACACAAAAGTAAAATATCAGCTTCCAGTTCATCTACAGATCGGTATTTTCCATCTTTTACACGCTGTCGAATACGATTAAAATCTACAGGCTTTTTAATCACTCATAATAGTCTGGCAATTCTTTTCTTGTAGGCAATTTCATAAACGGTTCACTAAGAATTCTTTGATCTCTAGAACAAACAATTTATCAAAACAATATCCGAAAACAAAAAAGAAAAACAATTCTGAAGAAATCTAATAGAGACAAAAGTGTCAAGTATTTAAAACGGAGTTGCTACATATGAGATAAAAATATACGTTCGTATTAAGATAGATATATGTGTATGGGCAACCGGTGAAGTAATAGACGTCTGATTAAGATATAACTAACTTGATTTCAGTTTGAACAGTTCTACCAGTATGCTAAACAGGTAACACGAGTAGAGTGAGGTCAACTGGTTGAGATCTAGTCTGATGACATTAAATATAACATTACTGACAATTTTAAGACGAATATTTAAACAATTGTGTAAGTATAAATTTTAAACGCTGATTAAAGCATGATGTAAATAGATTAAAATTTACTAAATAATGCTCACAGTTGTTTTGGATAAGTTACGAAAAGAGAAAAAAGTACTTAAGAAGTACAAAAACCAATAAACCATTTAAAAGTAAATTAATGAACCATAGTAATGAAGGCTGAGAAGCGTCACAAAGGTACAATTTTGGGTGCTTCTGCACCTATAATCAGATGAATGCTAGAAATAATATGATGGTATTAACACTATCAGAATTATCTTAGAGGGTAGCTAACCTAGTTATCATAATGCTAATATAAACAGAATCCAGTTATAACTGAACACGACATAACGTGAAATTATTTCGAATAGACTATTTTATGTAGCGTGAACCTATATAGTGTTAGTTGAGATCTGAACAGTTCTATATTACTGGTTTTGATTGTGGAGACACATTTTGAGGATTCGAATTCACAGACGTTACTAAAGACAAACCACATGAAAAGAAGATTCAGGTCAAGTAATTCTAGGTGATTGCAGGTTAGTATGTAGTTTATTTTACTTTCGTTAACTCATGGCAGAAGTATTTTTTTTTGTTATCACAGGAAGTTAAGAAATGATACCATTTAACCGAGTCTAGAAGGAAATATAGAGTCGGTGCACTATTCAGAAAATGGTACGCATTAACAGAAGCTATAAATAATAAGCGAGACATACTTGTCTTTGTATTCTATCACAATATCTAATAAACGTTGTAGTTTTTTAGCTAACTTTGGTGAAACTGATTGATTAGATGATCTGGATGTACTCCCAGTAGAAGAACCATGAGGTGGACGTCCACGGCGACGTTTAGCAGCTTGTGGTGCAGCCATAATAACGCTTCCAGTTTCTGAGCTCCCATCATCCATAAAACTAGAATCCTTGACCAAACGACCCACCCCCGAAATAAATATCAGTAAATAAATACAAGTGGTCTTTAAATTATGGACCATTAATAAAAAAAAAGAAATGAGCCACAATAATACGTTAGAAATAATAACTTCTGTCAGAAACGAGAATAACCGGCCTATCCTTTGAGGAACAATTGTAGTCTTGATTCATCGGTTCAAGTTGGCACATTATATCAGGACAACATGATGAAGTTAGCAAGAGTAGTAGGAGTAATAACAGCATCAGTGGTTGTAGAGAGGATTAGCGACAGATAAGAATGGATTTCAAGAATAAAAGGTGTAAGATGATTTAAAACTCAAGATTTAGGCGAAGACAAAGAGTGAATGCATTTAGACCATTATGACTGATTCTGAACTATGCCACCAACCAGATAGTCTGCATCTACATGAACGGATCAAAATAATAATAAATGATTTCGTGGACCGATTTCAAGTCTTGGTGTGGCTACTGTTATTTTTCTTCAAACCTACTCCTATACCAGCCAATAACGTGCGTCTAGGTAGGCCGTTTTTAGGAATATGTAACATATATCCTGGTCAACTAAGTTGATGAAGACCCACTACCACACCGACCGATTCTCCGTCTTTACCAGATACGCTGCGTCGAACCTCAGTATTGCTCACTCAATGATTCTATAGTATACATTATTGATGATCAACTTAGCTAATTGTTTTGAACAACACGTTTTTTAGTTGTGATTGATACAAAAAGCTACCACTAGGGACACAGTTTCATTGTTGAATCATAGTAAAGTGGTGGCTTGGTAGTTGAGTCACTCATCCTTTAACTACCGGATCGCAATAATTTTAGATTGAGCAACATAGTTTCATTAAAATTCACATAAAAAGCTTGACTAAAGGTGGGTAAACAAAACCAAATTTATTAAGTGCGCGGATAAACAAGGTTAGCTGAATAAATTTACCAAGAGATGTTTTTAAATCTTAAGTGATGAAAAAAAGCTTATGAAAAACACTGAATGCTTTATCATAAAGAACTTTCTTCACTAAACTATTTATACAGTCGATAGTGTGCACAAATATAGCCCCCAAATGCCCTGGTATGGCCGAGAGCGGGCTGGGTTCGCCCTCCCTCTCGAAATACTCTCACACGGCCGCGCGTATACAGCCTCTGCCAGGGAAGTCCTACTCATTTCCTTCTCGTGTCGGGGTTGTTTACGAAAATGAGAGGACGAAAAGCGAATGTCCGGCGCTTTAACCAGATCCCAAACCAATGGTGCGCATGGGCTCCAGTATCCTGAGGGAACAAATAGCGTATGAACCAATTTTCGGTCACCGGCTACCATGGGACTGCATCTCCTCACGATGCTCCACTGCCTTGTGGGTTCGAATTTTAGGTCAAAAGCTAGGGGTGTGGCCCCCTAAGATAACCACCTGCTTCGGTCTGGGCACCCGGGCAGTATCCCAGCCCACACGCAATTATTGAACTGAACTGTCTATGATCATGGAAACTAATTCTCTTGCCTCGACGAACATTCAAATGATTCAATTATTATTATTATTATTATTATTATTATTATTATTATTATTATTATTTACTACGACATTATTCACCCTCTTTTATTCCTACTCTGTCTGTACTTATTTTTTTGACTTATACAGCAGCTCGTCTATGGTGGAAATTCGACTGTATCTAAACGTTCTCGAGTCACTGTCCGGTTGAAAATTGTATGTTACCACCGAATATGAGTACTGAAGCAGTTTTTCTGAAACCACGTGCACCATTCAAACTGGCTGCCTTCAACGTTCGCACATTTATGCAGGTCGGACAACAGATAGGGCTGGCTATGTCTTTGGAAAGTCTTAATATTGATGTTTGTTGTCTATCCGAGACCCGTATTCAAGACTCTGGCGAAGTACTACAAATTCGATCTCCATCTGTCGCTTCGAAAAGCTTGTTTTACGTGCGCTTATCCGGGGACCCTGTGGCATCTTCGTCTGGTCTTGCTGGCGTTGGTGTCGCACTAAGCGCTAGAGCTGAGGCAGCACTAGTCGATTGGATCCCCATTAACAGTCGGTTATGTGCTGTTAGATTAGAAAGTTCCATCAAAGTGAGAAGAAATCGGCGTGAGAAACGATGTCTTTTCGTCATCTCCGCCTATGCCCCGACAGATTGCAGCCCGGATGCAATCAAGGATGAGTTTTACCACCAGTTATCTGTTCTTCTCCAGAAAGTGCGTTCGACAGATATTGTAGTACTAGCCGGAGACTTGAATGCTCAGGTCGGGCGTCTAGGCACAGAAGAGAGTCGTTTAGGTGGCCGATGGGGACTCGTTGGTCGCAGGTCAGATAACGGGGACCGTCTACTGCAACTTGCACAGACCACAACCTGTTTCTGGCTAGCACTAACTTTCGGCACAGTCATCGCCGATGTGCCACCTGGCGTCCTCCCTCTGCATCTCAAGCCTGGACTCAGATTGATCACATCGCGATCAGCTACCGCTGGCGTGGTTGTGTACAAGACTGCCGCTCCTTTTGGAGTACCTATCTGGACTCTGACCATGCCTTGGTCTGCGCCAATCTTGCCTTACTTTTCAGTGGACAACGAAGTGACCGCCATCAACGGATTGATGTTAGCAAGCTGGTTGCAACTTCTGTTGCAAGTAAGTATCGAACCGAGCTAGCCTCTAGGCTAGCTACCACTCCACCGAAAAGTATAGATGAGCATTGGTTGCAATTGCATGACGCCATGAAAATGGCGGGAACAGTCAGTTGTGGGTTTGCGAAACGTCCCGCTTTAAGCACTGGGTTTCTTCTGGTTCCTTACAACTCATTGAAGCCCGTCGGTCTACTCCGGGTGACCGTGAGTTTGACCATAAACGAAGGATGTTACGTAAGGAAATTGGGCAAAGCTTGCGTAAGGACCGAGAAGCCTGGTGGTCGAGCGTGCTAATGAGCTGGAAGCAGCAGCTGCATCTGGTAACTACCGGAAGCTCTTCCAACTCATCCGAGCCACTGGCAGCAAGAAGTCTGGTGTGAGTGAAACAATCTGCGAGGATGATGGGATGCCAATCACTAACATCCATCGACGTCTTGGACGATGGGCAGAATTTTTCGAAGGGCAGTTCAACTGGCCTGCTGCTCCGGCAACATCGGTCAGACTGTCCTGCCCTCCATGGCCGGTGACGACTGATCCACCAAACGAGGAGGAAGTCCGCAAGGAACTCCAACTCTTGAAGCGTTACAAATCACCTGGCCCAGATGACTTACCTCCGGCTCTTTTTAAAGATGGTGGTGACTTTTTGACTAAGGAATTGACGACGTTGTTTACAAAGGTTTGGGAACTAGAGAGTGTACCAACGTCATGGAATGAGTCGATAGTTGTCCCTATCTTTAAAAAGGGTTCACGTCGTTCCTGTAACAACTATCGGGGGATAAGTCTACTTCCGATTGCGTCCAAGCTATTGGCTTCCGTCATACTTCGTAGGTTGTTCAAAACCCGAGAAAGATTGACTCGCGAGGAGCAGGCTGGGTTTCGTTCTGGTCGAGGATGTATTGATCATATCTTCACCCTCCGCCAAATGTTAGAACACCGCCATACTTATCAAACGCCAACAATCGTAGTGTGCCTGAGAAGTTTATTAACATCCTAAAAGCCCTATATACAAACACCTCATGCAGAGTAAGGGCATACAACCACCTCTCGCCATTGTTCCATTCGAGCAGTGGGGTTAGGCAGGGTTGCCCAATCTCACCATTCCTCTTCAACTTTGCCATCGATGACATTCTGGAAACAGCTCTGATGAATGTAAGTAATGGTGGTGTGGATCTGTTGCCTGGAGAAAGACTTCTCGACCCTGAGTATGCGGATGATATTGTCTTACTGTGCGATAATGCCCAAGGCATGCAATCCGCACTTACTCAGTTGGCAATCGGTGTCCGTAGGTATGGTATGTGCTTTGCACCTTCGAAATGCAAAGTACTTCTACAAGACTGACAGGATTCCAATCCTGTACTCACCCTGGATGGTGAGCAGATAGACGTAGTCGAGATGTTCGTGTATCTGGGTAGCTACATAAGTGCTGGTGGGGGTGTGAGTGATGAGATCAATGCACGTATAGTGAAAGCCAGAGCGGCTTATGCCAATCTGGGCCATCTTTGGCGCCTTCGTGATGTTAGTCTGGCTGTAAAAAGTCGGATCTACAACGCGTCGGTGAGAGCAGTTCTCCTCTACGCTTGTGAAACCTGGCCTCTCCGAGTTGAGGACGTTAGACGACTCTCTGTGTTCGATCATCGTTGTCTCCGAAGGATTGCTTACATCCAGTGGCAACACCATGCCAGTAATGAAGAGGTTCGGCATCGTGTGTTCGGGCACAGAGATGATAATTCAATTGGTGTCACCATCCTGAAACACCGACTTCGGTGGCCTGGACATGTTCTACGAATGTCGTCCCAGAGAATTCCACGTCGTGCATTATTTGCTGACTCTGGGACTGGTTGGAAGAAGCGGAGAGGTGGTCAGTGCATGACATGGTGTCGTGGTATGAAAGAAAGCTGCAAAGGGCTGGCCTGTGTCGGTCCTTCACGACTCCCTGGTTGGGGTCCGAGAGATGGTACAACACAGTGGCTAGAGATGTTATCAGATATGGCTAAGAATAAAAGCCAGTGGCGATCATGCTGTAACCTTCTTTTACTTTCTTCATAAAACGTGGTTGTATCTTCGTTAACTGAAAGATTTCTTCTGATTGTACCCTTCTGTTCCCCTACTATTACTATTATTATTACACTAACTTACACCAATCTCTTCGTTATTGTTGTTTTTTAATATTTTTTACGTTCCCCACTTTTTCTTTTTCTTCTTAAATTCTCATTGTTTTGTGTGGCGCATAGATATTTGGCGCACTCCTGTACCAATTTATATGTGTTCAAATAATAATAATAATAAAAACTGGTGATCTAATATTAACCATTTATTTATATTTATGAATGATGACTTTAAACAACTAGAGGTGAAAATTCGGAAGTCGAATATGTGGTTTTGAGATGTTAACAATGTAGGGAGTAATAATATGGTGGCTGACTGACTTTTTTTTTCAAAAATCATATAAATCAGTGTTTTTATAAATGATCACACAACTTAAAGAAAATTTCAGTAGCCCACTAAAACATCTCAGAGATTCACTAAGCAAATAGAATAGTGTTTAGTACACTCAAAAACCGATCTGTTATGCAAAATTGAGATAAATATAAAATACATTAAATGAACATACATCTAATCGCTTGCGTTTTTTTCGTGCTGCTCGTTTTTGACGCTGACGTTCTTCAGCTTCTTCTAAGCTACCCTCATCGATTGCTTTAAGAAACTGACGCTCAGTGAGTGCATCTGAATAATCCACTTCTTTACGCTGACGTTTCATTCCAAAAACATTATCCTCTAATGAAAGACTTCGTTCAAGCTTTTATATTGAAAATAAATGATCAAATAAGATGTATTAATATAGGACTATGAGGGTCTTTATCAGTAATTTGCTGACTACAAGCAGTTATAGTGTGCTATATCATAAACTAATCATAATATCTGTATAGAAAAAAATTATATATATACCAATCCAATCCTTAACGGATAAATACATGTAAACATGAGCTGGTATAATTTATTCGGTTGTTAAATTAATGAAAACTTCCAACAATCGACTTGCATTATCTACAGAAATACAATACGAGATAATTCTACAGAAACTAGATCCTGATTAAATGATGTCATGTGATTTTATAGTCTACGCAAGTTTTCTTTAGTAAACTGCCTTATTAAAACACATACCCAAGGAAAATTGATAGGTGTTTTAAACACTGTCTAGTTCTTAATCTGTTCATTCCACACTTATTGCGAACATTTATGATCCAAACGTACAATCGAAATGTCTGTATTTATTCATGGCACTTTACCTATTCAGTGATTTTAGTTACACGCTAATTTTTGAAGAAAGTGGAATAAAAAAATGTAATATTCATATTTTCTTTATTGTTTATAAATCAAATTAAGATATGAAGTTGTAACAATCAACTGTATATGGATAGGTAACCACCACTATTACAAATGACATTACCCGATAAAATTTAAAAAGTAATTCCGTTATCAACTATTTCACTTACAAGCAGGAGTGAAAGCTAATTTAAAGGTGTTGTTTTACAGTTTCCTGAGTATTTAACATTTCAATTTATTACAACGACAAATAAATAATAATACTGACTAGTGTGATCGGCAAGATTCTTCGCATAAACAATAAAAGTAATCATTAAGTTAGTGATTCATTATTATTTACCTCGATGTCATCTCGTACAATCCACTTTGGCAATTCTGAAAACTCCATTAGACGTGGTTCCCGTTTGGCCTGTTGACTTTCAGCAAATTGGCGTTCGGCATCTAACCTTTGGTAGATTTCGAATTCTTCTTCGTTTCGGGCTAACATCTGATTAATAGTTTCATCATCAGGTGCTTCATCTTCTTCTTCATCGGCTTCTTCATCTTGTTCAAGTAACGCTTGTAAAAACTGACGTCGTTCGGTACCAGTAGACTTTTGATCAAACATACCGGCCTGGATAACTTTTTGATCCACGTCCAATTTGAAACGCGCTGCTGCTAAGATTTTTTCTTCAACTGAATTTATTGAGATTAAACGCAGAACTCGAACCTACCATAGAAACATGGTCACATCTATGAATTAATAAGTTTACTTTTTTATGCAGTAAAGTGACCTTATACACGTAAATTATTCACTTTAATTCATCTGCAGGGACAAATCACAAAGTCGTACTATTCAAATCTCTCCAAATAAAACTATGGGTATTCAAAGAGAATTGCAACCACAAATTATTTTAAAATAGACACGAACTTATTTTAAAATGGAAAAATGTTACACGTAAACTCATAACTAGTTAATTTAGTCTTTCAGTAACTGAATATGGTGGTAAAACTGGCAGGTAATGCAAAAAAACTCTCCTGCCTCTTCTATGTAAGATAGCAGTTTCAATGGAAACAATTATGGGTTCTTGTATTAGGATTACGCATACTGTATGTAAAATGGGATACTAACCAAACTAGAATATACAAGTTGGAAATTATGGATACATCCTATCTATTAAAAATAACGTTAAAAACAGTTAATCGAATTTCCACCATTATGTACAAATGTAATAAATACTTTCTCGTACCTTGTCATCTACTTCGGTCTGAACAACAGACAACCTATCTACAGTAAGTCATCTGCCAAAGAATAAGTGGTAAGGTTCATATATTTCAAGGTTTTCTAATCCCAAAGACACAATGAAAAGTCATCGACAAAAACATACTGGGAATTGCATACCTCGTTTTGTTGACCAATACGATGAGCACGATCCTGTGCTTGTAAATCTTGATGAGGATTCCAATCTGAATCGAATATAATCACTGTATCCGCAGCTTGGAGATTAAGACCTAGGCCGCCAGCACGAGTTGAAAGTAAGAAAATAAATATATCCTCGGAAGTATCATTAAATTTCACTAGTAATTCTCCACGATCTTCTGAACGAGTAGTTCCATCAAGACGTAGATAACGAAAATTTCGGTAATCAAAGTAGTCCTGAAGAGATAAAAATATTTCGTGCGAACTAAGTGAAAAATGTAACGAGTTAAAACAATTAAGAAGTCAGAGAGCAGTGATTAACCTCTTTATCTTAGTTTAAGATTCTTTTTGAAGTGCCTATTCTCGATAACATTCCGGATGAAACTAAGGAACTTTAAGTTTAACAGTGAGTATGCCACTAATCATTCAATTAACCAGTGCTTTCAGTTTTAGAAAACGTGGCCGAAAATTGCGCAAGTTGAGTTTTATTACGTTGCCGTTTTAGAATTTTTCAAACGTATGAAGACTAAGTTTTAGTCAAGTGAAAGTTACTTCCCTAGTGATTCACCTCCAATTTCAGTAAAATTACCCAAGTAATTTCGGTTAAAGTCATAATTCGTATTTGTTCAGTTTTCATTTATTATCATCTATTTGTAGCATACAGAATGTTTTGACCTAGATTAAATTTGGTTTGAGAGTCATTTTTGAGATGATGGAGATTTGTAGCTCAGGTGGATGATTTGATGGAGTTTTGTTCTCTGAGCTGGATGGTTTGGTCGTAGAGCTTTCAGATAGAAGTCTATCTGAAGTTTGTGCTGATGACGTCGTTCAGAAGAACGATGAAAGCTCTACGACCAAACCATCCAGCTCAGAGAACAAAACTCCATCAAAAGTTATTTTTGAATTGAGCTGCAGTTTTTCTTATCTATTTGTGAAACAAATGGTGAACTTATTCAACTTACAGTGACTTTCAACATAGAATGCAGAATTTCACGTTCGATTTTTTTTACAAAGATAAATAACTCAAATATTATTTAAGATAACTTGTGATTTCAGTTTATTACCATCTTATGAGCTGGTAGTGATGTTGAAGGTAATTGATACTAGTCAATGAAAACAATCAGTATATTAAATTTATTTCATTAACCTGCTTATATCATTTTCAGACGAACTGCTATGTGAGTAGATGTTATGTATACACCCCCAAAAGTATGAGATTATAGTAACAAACTCGCATATATGTTCCTGATTACAACAATAAACAACTGATCATTCAGAAAAATACTTCATAAACTAACCTGCATAATTGTCATTAAACTTGTCATTTGACAAAATATTAACACACGATGTCCACAACATTTTAATTGGGCAGAATTCTATCCAGTAACTCGAATTTCCCAGAAGAACGATATAATATTTTACCTTCAACTTGTGTTGGTACTGGTAAAGTTGGTGGGGGGTTACCATTGTGTACATTTAGGAAGTTTTGTTCAGCTATAGCCATTTCGATGTGTGGGAACATAAATGGATGGTTGCAAATCTTTCTAAGCTGCATAATTGTATTCATTAAAGTTCGACAACCACCTTTACCCTATATATAATGAAACAATGAAAAATAGCAGTCAATAATACAACAACTAGGGAGTTATCGTTGTTCTAATCTTACAGTTACTTTTTATTCAATAACTCACTCAAAAAATAAGTACCTCTTTCTAATGAAAATCGTTTTTATAAAGGTAAAATAACCATTAAAAAATAAGAGAACACTAGATTAACATTATTCTTACAATGGAAAGCTTAAAAATGAAAAAGTTAAATTAAATGTCAGTAAAAATGAAGTGTATGAACGAAAACAAGTCTAGGTGAATCAATAATTTACGGACGCGCATGACAGCTAATGACGAGGATATACGAACAGCATATAACAAATCCCAACATAAAGCTTTAGCCAAATATTTGTATAATTGAATTATAAATAGAAAGTCAAGACAAAATAGGAATTGAGGTGAGCAAAAATAATGTTCGGTAAAAATACAAAACATTTGAAAGAAATCAAAAATTAAGGTATTAATACACCTTTTCTCGTTTTAATTATTGACTTATTAAAGCCACATGTATGTGACTGAACCTCAGTTACGTGTACCGCACCCGAAACATGCTTGTACTGTTGGTCATGATATGTGGTTTGTCAGAATATCCATAGAACAAAACTTTAGTATCTGTGTATTCCAAGTCAACAAATGAATCTCCTGATAAGAGGATAAACTTGAAAAGTCAGATGATGAGAATGTTACCACTAAGAGAATTTCCACCGCAATGTTAAATGAGATTGGAGGGAGTGGACAGCCCTGGCAAACACCACTTGATGTGGACGATTTTGATAACAGTTAGCTATAACCTTTGACTCGACCGGCAGTGTTCGAGTAGAAATTGTACAGAGTTAACGTAATTCTTCGGTAAGCCTTCCAATAACAGATGCCGCCGTGAATGATCACATCAAGACCCTATATGGGTGTTCCGGAGATACAATATAAATCGAAGGAAAGGGATTCTCGAGTTTTAATTGAGGAAGCCTGTTGTCCTGTCTGACAAGGTTTAATCATTGAAGAACACAACATGTAGTACAGAGAGCGATTTCAATTGCACAGGAATAAAACTTAGCGAACTCAAATCATTAGCATTGATGAAGCATGATAATTAAGTCACATGGAAAGGGTCAATCGTGGAAACCGGGGAAGTATTAGGAAGTGACGGGGAGTTTGATAGTGAACAAAGTGATCTTGGTTGCTATTAAGGGTATGAGAACTATTGCCACGTTTAGGCTGCCCACAACATGGAGAGAAACTTCCGAAAATAAAACTGGAATAGTGGTTTTAGCGATCAGGGATTGTGAGCGGAGAGTCAAAGACACAATCAGTTGAGGTCAGTCACACAGTCTTTACGTGGCAAGTTTTTCATGTGTTTGATCCAGACCATACTGCTGGAAACGGAGATAAGTATGGTGAAGTGAAGTGTGACATATTTAGAACCAACATTCCTTCCGTTGACAGGATGCAGTATCGCTGCAGATGTTTGCAGTAAAACTTCGATACCGAACCTTAGGTTGATGCTTTTAGTCTTATCGTTATACGATTAACCTGTCTGGCATAGTACGACCGAAAAGAACAAATGTTCTAGCCAATATTGATCAATTTTACCATTGCTAAAGACAAGATAGTCCAATACATTAGGGTAGCAGCTGCGAGTATGCAATCACTTCCTATATTACTTGATACACAAGTTTACACAGTTGAGCCAACTTACTGAAGGTCATTTTCTAAACGAATATAACTTCTGTTAAAGAAAAAACATTATTCTGTAATATTGATGTCCGTTTCCCTCTTGATACCGATTAAGTTTTTTTCATAAAACTATAAGAAAATGATCTTTTCCAACTAATTCACAGAGCAGTTAGGTATTATTCAAATTAGCAATCCCAAGTTTTGCAAAATTGTTGTAAGAGCAAACAGAAGTATTGCATCAAAAGGCGATAATCCTGACCAAAATACAGTTTTCGTAGAGACTATAGTTTGTAAGTCATTTATTTATTTATATGAACATATAATTATTGATGCAAAGGGGCACCGAATACATATGCGCCACACAAGTCACTTGATTTGTGTGTGGGCTATGATACTGTCCGAGTGCCCAAACCGAAGTAGATAGTTTTCTTAGATGGCCACACCCCGAGCCTTGGACTCAAAGGTCTGATCCACAAGGCAGTGGAGTAACGTTGGGAGATGCAGTACAGTGATCAACGACTGGTACATACGCCACTTGTTCCTTCAGAATCCTGGAGTCTATGTGCACCATCGGTTTGGAATCAGGGTTTTCCCATTCTCCTAGGTAGACTCTCCGTGTCCACCAACCCGGTTAAAGAGTCGGACATTTGCTTTCCGTTCTATCGATTTCTTATACAACTACCCGCCCCGAGAAGGTACTGAGTAGGACTTCCGTAGCAGTGGCTGTATATATGTGGCCTTGTGAGAGTATTTCGGGAGGAAGAGCTGCATCTCCATACCCTCGGCCGTACCAGGGCATTTGGGGAGTTAAAACTTAACACTCAGCTATATACGCAGGACATTTAGTGATTAATAGTGCGATTCAACATTTTTCTGATGAAATTATAATATTAACTGTGCGGAAATGTTACTCTTACCTTTTTATCTTTTTCTGATCCATCAGTTAAAATTACACCTTTAGATTGCATATGTGAATAAAGAACTCTTTGTAAATCTGACATTTCACATTTAATCACATATTCAACTTTTTCTGGTAATTGCGATTCTACTTCACGTTTGAGACGACGTAATAAGAATGGTCGTAATACTTTGTGTAATCGACGAATAATAAGCAGGGTTTCTTCCTGGTTCAATTCGACCTTTAATAAATAAAAAAGTGAGACCAGTGTTCATTGATACTTATAAAACTACGATTACGGTTTAATACAGAAAGCATGATGTAACTGCCTTCTGCTTATATTTACATACATGGTTTACATGCATAGCACACACGATATCTGATTTTTCAACAACATTTCCACTTTTATTGTACTTAGATTATTTTAAGGAAGACAGGTCAAATGATGTCATACAACGACTATTAAATGATCGAAATAGATCTCTTGATTGCACGCTTAAATAAACGAGTTTGATAATTTTAAGAAATAGAGAACCAAAAGATATTTTCCTTTAGTTAATTTGTCGCTCATTTTTTTGACAAACTGAACATACTTCAAAACAAAGACAGAAATCAAACGTAATAATTGTATGACAAGAGAACTGATTATAAATAACTCCAGTCAACATTTTTGTGGACAGAAATTAGCCGAACTATCATTATGATAATCGAATTGCTTTGACGAATAAAAAGCGGATTATCACTATTTATTCCATAGCCGTTTATGATTTAAGTATTAACAAATACGAGCGTCAGTCAGTCACCTAAAATGTAAGACCCAGAATATACAAACATCACTTCAACCTGCCGTACCTCATTAGCAAAATAAGATGAACACCGAATTCATAGAAACAGTTACTTCAGAGATAAAAGGAAAAACACTTCATAAGAGGAAGAGATACAGGAAGAAAAACCTACTTCATAGTAAGAAAGCGATTAAGAAAATTCACTTTCACGATTTAATGGAAGACAAAGAGTTCATACACCGACGCCACTGTGATCGATTCTGAGCCATGTCACAAAGAGTCCCCAACCATTGGTTACGATAATCACGCGGACCCCAAACAAGTAGTTTGCATCTACCAACATGGCTCAGACCAGAAGTTAGTGACTTCAAGCACTGATGCCACATTTTGGTTTGGCTGCCCCTAACTTTCTTCCAACCATCTCCAACACTAGTCAGCATTGCGCATCGTCGTAATCGGTGTTCAGGCATACGTAACACGTGGCTCAACCATCTCAGTCGACGAAGATTCACAACCTCATCAACTGATTTACCATCATTCCCTAATACCATGCGTCTAACCTCACTATTACTTACCCGGTGATCCCAGCAGACGCCAGCAATATTTCTAAGGCATCTATGGTCAAATACTAGTAGCTTACAAGTGTCTTCTACTCTCAATGACCATGTTTCGCTGCCGTAAATTAAAACAGAACGGACTACCGCGCAGTATACTCGTCCTTTTATTGATAGACGGATATCTCGCCTTTGCTATGGGTGACGTAAGTTGGCAAAAGCCAAGCGAGCTTTTCGAAACCGTGCTGAGATTTCGTCAGACACCAAACCATTAGGACTGATCAGACTTCCAAGATAAGTGAAGTTGTCGACGTGTTCGACTACTTCACTCCCTATCCTTAGTTCAGGTGTTAACGCAGACCAGTCCTGAAGCAACAACTTGCATTTAGAGGGAGAGAAGCGCATTTCAAACATTCTGGCATTGCTGCTCAATGCCACAAAAACACTCTGCATTTTATCAACGTCTTCACCAAACAGGACTATGTCATCTGCGTATTCTAAATCGATAGGTGGACCTCCTGGAAGGAGATCAATGCCCGAAAATTCAGTCGACGAGAACGTTATTTCCATCAGTAGGTCTATGATGAAGTTAAACAAAAATGGAGATAGTGGACAACCTTGACGGACACCACTTGAGGTTATAAAAACAGATGACAGTTCGCCATAAGCTCTTACTCGACTGGTAATGTTCGAGTAAAAAGCCCTTACAAGGTTAATGTACTTTTGAGTTATACCTTTCAATGACAGACACAGCCACAGAACCTCTCGGTCTACGGAGTCAAATGCAGCTTCTAAGTCAAGAAAAACCACCATTGTCGGACGTCGATAAGCATACCTGTGTTCTAAAATCTAACGAATGGTGAATATGTAGTAGATACAGCCACGACCAGGTCTGAAGCCAGCCTGATTTTCTCGTGTTCGCAGTTCGCGAGGCTTTGTTGGGCATCCGATAATTATTGGGGTTAGTATTTTAGATGCTATATTAGTCAAGCTAATCCCTCTATAGTTGGTTATCACAGGATGATTTAGCCCCTTTTGATATATTGAGACAATTAGTGATTGCGGCCAGTCTGATAGGATTACACTCAGTTACCAGATTTTAGCTAAAATATTAGTTAGCCTAATAGCCAGAACTAGACCACTATCCTTAAAGACCTCTAGAGCTAATCCATCTGGACCATCTGCTCTTCCTCGTTCCAGATTATCTGCAACCTTTTGGACTTCAGCTAGAGTCGTGGGACCTACTTCAAGGTTCCATTCAGGCTGTTTGGGAATGGTGGGTTGTTGTAGAGTAGCTGAAGGCCAGCTGAACTGCTCTTTAAAATATTCCGCCCATCGTTCTAAACGTCTGGACTGGGAGCAGATAAGAGTGTCATCTTTTTCCGAGATCGTCTCACACTTGACTTACTAATTCCAGTTTCTTTTATTAGTCTGTAGAGCTGTCTTGTGTTACCTATAGCCGCCGCCTTTTCCGTCTCTTTTGCTTCCGTTGCCCACCACTGCTCACGGTCGTTCCTTAGACTTTTGGTTAACCTAGATCTGATTTGTATTTGATCTTTATCGTGTTCAGAGCCTGATGGTATGAGTTTACGAGAATCCATCAGTGCAACAGACCTTGAAGGATTTCAGTGGTTCTTTGTAACCCTTTGGTTTAAATCACTAATAGATGTCACTGCTGTTTCCACAGCTGTTTGTATATCTTTTCAAGCAACATCTGGGTCAGCCTCGTTCTCAGAACTACCTAAGTGTGACCTCATTTGTTCCTGGAACCTACTTTTTTTCCTCATTACTCAATTCAGTTCTAATGGGTCTTTTTAGTGTGGCTTTTTTGCATCCAGTGAGGGGCAAGCAGATGCGTGCCCGTATTAGAGCATGGTCAGAGTTCAAGCAGGTACTCCAGAATGAGCGACAATCTTCTATCGACCATCTCCAACGATGACTGATGACAATATGGTCTATTTGAGTCCACCGTTGGTTTGATGAAGGGGGTCGCCATGTTAGACGATGTCTCTCCTTATGCTGAAAACTAGTGTTTGCTAAAAATAAACGATTGTCTGAGCATAGTTGCAGCAGACCATCATCATTATCTGTTCGCTGAGCCGGAATACTAAAGTACCCACCTAAGTGTCTTTCTGTTTGGTTTAAGCTACCTAATTGGGCATCAAAGTCACCTCCTACGAGTACTATGTCTGAACGTTTAGCTTTCTGTAAAATCCATCTCTCACTTCATCCGAGCTGCAGTCAGTGAGAGCGTAGGCAGAAAAGACAAAAAGGCAACGACGTGTGTCCCGATCTTTCCGAGTTCTTACAGAGCCTATTAACCGAACAGCACATAGACGACTGTTAACGGGGATCCACTCTAATAGTGCTTGTTCCACGAGAACTAGCCATCGGGTCGCCAGATACACGGAGAGTGTAGCTCGTCCGCTCTCCGTTTTGGCGAGGTGAGATCAAGTGAATGGCCACACTAGGATCCTGTATGCGTGTTTTTGAGACACAGTATATATCGATGACACGAGATTCTAGGATTTTAGCCAAGGAGGCCTGCTGACCGAGTTGACATAGGGTGAGTACGTTGAAGGCTCCAATGTGTAGTTTGTAGCGAGGTCCCAGTATACCTAGGACAGCATTTCGCGATCTAGAGTCGTCGGTCATGGTGACACTTGAGGATGCTTAGAGTTAATAGTCGAGGTAGAAGATATAATAGGGAAAGTTTATTATGAATTAGTGGTCTTAAATGCTGTTAGAGTTGTGAGGCGGTTATCACTACCCAGTTACGCACACTGTGAAAGGATTCTTCTTGAGGTACCTGAAAAGGAAATAGGGACAGAGTGGGTCTTCGTGTTAGCTCCGTAGTTGTTGAGACATTACCGCTGGAGACGGAAATCCATGAGATAAGGCGAGGTGTCGTAACAAGAAAAATTATGACAGTACGCCAAGAAGTGATGTCTGATATTTAGTATTCACCAATAAGGAAAGCAATATTATTTAGCAAGTAGAAAGCAGTGCATCTCAGAAGTGCTGACTATACGTTAAATTCCGAAAATATAAACACAATACTTCTTACAAACAAACAAAAATTCGACATGACTATACGCATACTTTTTCTCCGGTTGCAGCGAATGGAGCATTAAACCACTGTTCAAATGTATTGACACTTTCAAAAATTGTTGGCAACAAGAAATTCAGTAGAGCCCATAATTCAGGTAATTTATTTTGCAGTGGTGTACCAGTGAGTAGAAGTCGATATGGTGCAGTATAATATGTGTTTAACACTTGAGTCATTTACAATGGTGATTTTTCATTCTATGACCTTCATCAATTATCATGTATTTCCACTTCACCTGTTCAATAATTAAATAAAAAGAAATGCATGAAAGTAGCTAATACATTACAAACAAATAATGTTTTTGAAAGAAAAGAATTATTCATTCTCACTAAAATAAAAACTGGTAGGTAATTAAATGGAACCACCTACATTAAAATAAAAATATACAATCCTCAGAAACGATATGGGGATTTTATATAAATTTGAAAAATGATAAGTCCCACATTCTTGGTGACCAATTTTATATGACAATTATATACAAACTAAAAGATGACCGATACGTTGAAATCTCAAATAAGTATCAAATCTGACTAGTAACACACATCATTCGAGAGACTATGTAATAGCTTATTTAAACGATCCATAAAGAAGAGGTACGACCAATAAAATGAAATTGACCATGTTTATAAGGTAAGCACCAAAGCACGCTTCAATAAACAAAAACAGTTCTACTTAATGGACAAACTATCAAGTTAAATTTCCCAACATTATGAGATTGTACTTTCGCTTAAAAAACATCTTCCATAGACATTAAACAGGAAGAATGTATTTGTAAAATCTCAGCAAATGGATTTGAAGTAAATCCAACGTTTCGCCTGGCAATCTAGTCCAAGCTTTTTCAAGGAAAATATAATCAAACATCAAAATTATCGAATATAAATAGGTACATGGTTCTCCGGTTTACTGTATACTGAATAAGTCATCCAATCAACGTTAAGAATGTTTAATGTAGGTATTTACATTAGTGTGTACGAGACATGTGGTGTGAAACGAAATGTGTTATGATAACAGATTGTGTAAGTGAGAAGAAATTTCATTCACTGTGTATTGTCTTCGGTCGGTGAATATTAAGAAAACATATGATTTTATATACGATATGAATCAAAAATGTCACAGCATGGATTAAATGAAGATAAATAAACACGATAAAACAATGAATTCAAAGCGGAAGAAAAAATTTGTAATCGAAAGTTTGTTGTTTTAATGTTCCAGCCGATTGTTTAACATATTCAGATAAGATAACTGATTTGAACCGTTGAAAGTAACATCTGTTATTAGTTTAATACGATATAGATAGAATGGAATAAAGAGTTCAGGTTTACTTATTAATTATTTGTTGCCATGGGACAGGTAATTGTATTCCATCTCTCCTATTAATACTGTTTGGATTAGCCCATATATGTTAGTCCTTCTTTGTAAGAATTAAAGCCTTTTTGAAGGATTCTTGTGCCATTGAAATCAACTGCATGACCCGATTCTATCGAGTGCAATGCTATCGCTGATTTGTCCTCGGTTTCTTTTTACCTCAACTGAAGATTTAGGGATGTGCTTTAAACATAGTTTATGTTCCTTCACCCTCACATTCAGTTACCTTGATGTTCCACCTACATACGTTGCATTACAGTCACTACATTTGATTTCATAAACACAATCCTGTTGTACTTCCTTGTGTATTGGATCTCTGATTCTTAGTAGTAAGAATCCTTCTGAAATACGATTACGATATGGGATCACCACTGTGTTAATTCATTCTTTTGCTTAACTCTTTTTTTAATAATATCGTTTTGTTCTTCATTCTTAATTATTCTTTTAATAAAATTTTTCGGATAATTACTCATCAATAGAGTGGATATAATTGAATTCATTTCCATTTCTATGTCATTTGGTTCAGTGACAAGCTTTTTAACTCTAGTGATCAAACTTTTGGCTACTGTCACATTGATAGAGTGTGGATGCGCTGACTAAAAATACAGAAATTCTGCTGGATATGTGGGCCTTCGGAAAATACTAATATTTAAACAATATCTTGAACGCGAATCACCTTTTCTAGACTGTTTAGTTGAAAGGAAGCATAAGCAAAGCAAAATCAACACCGGAGTCATACAAGAAGTTATTTCAATGGTAGTAATATATGAAAGAAAGATTACATGTAGTATATAGTACAGGAAGAAACAATTATTACGTAGCATGATACGAAGCAATTTTAATCTCATAGATTAATGGAAGACAAAGAGTTCATACACCGACGCCATTGTGATCGATTCTGAGCCATGTCACAAAGAGTCCCCAACCAAGTAGTTTGCATCTACCAACATGGCTCAGACCAGAAGTTAGTGACTTCAAGCACTGATGCCACATTTTGGTTTGGCTGCCCCTAACTTTCTTCCAACCATCTCCAACACTAGTCAGCATTGCGCATCGTCGTAATCGGTGTTCAGGCATACGTAACACGTGGCTCAACCATCTCAGTCGACGAAGATTCACAACCTCATCAACTGATTTACCATCATTCCCTAATACCATGCGTCTAACCTCACTATTACTTACCCGGTGATCCCAGCAGACGCCAGCAATATTTCTAAGGCATCTATGGTCAAATACTAGTAGCTTACAAGTGTCTTCTACTCTCAATGACCATGTTTCGCTGCCGTAAATTAAAACAGAACGGACTACCGCGCAGTATACTCGTCCTTTTATTGATAGACGGATATCTCGCCTTTGCTATGGGTGACGTAAGTTGGCAAAAGCCAAGCGAGCTTTTCGAAACCGTGCTGAGATTTCGTCAGACACCAAACCATTAGGACTGATCAGACTTCCAAGATAAGTGAAGTTGTCGACGTGTTCGACTACTTCACTCCCTATCCTTAGTTCAGGTGTTAACGCAGACCAGTCCTGAAGCAACAACTTGCATTTAGAGGGAGAGAAGCGCATTTCAAACATTCTGGCATTGCTGCTCAATGCCACAAAAACACTCTGCATTTTATCAACGTCTTCACCAAACAGGACTATGTCATCTGCGTATTCTAAATCGATAGGTGGACCTCCTGGAAGGAGATCAATGCCCGAAAATTCAGTCGACGAGAACGTTATTTCCATCAGTAGGTCTATGATGAAGTTAAACAAAAATGGAGATAGTGGACAACCTTGACGGACACCACTTGAGGTTATAAAAACAGATGACAGTTCGCCATAAGCTCTTACTCGACTGGTAATGTTCGAGTAAAAAGCCCTTACAAGGTTAATGTACTTTTGAGTTATACCTTTCAATGACAGACACAGCCACAGAACCTCTCGGTCTACGGAGTCAAATGCAGCTTCTAAGTCAAGAAAAACCACCATTGTCGGACGTCGATAAGCATACCTGTGTTCTAAAATCTAACGAATGGTGAATATGTAGTAGATACAGCCACGACCAGGTCTGAAGCCAGCCTGATTTTCTCGTGTTCGCAGTTCGCGAGGCTTTGTTGGGCATCCGATAATTATTGGGGTTAGTATTTTAGATGCTATATTAGTCAAGCTAATCCCTCTATAGTTGGTTATCACAGGATGATTTTAGCCCCTTTTGATATATTGAGACAATTAGTGATTGCGGCCAGTCTGATAGGATTACACTCAGTTACCAGATTTTAGCTAAAATATTAGTTAGCCTAATAGCCAGAACTAGACCACTATCCTTAAAGACCTCTAGAGCTAATCCATCTGGACCATCTGCTCTTCCTCGTTCCAGATTATCTGCAACCTTTTGGACTTCAGCTAGAGTCGTGGGACCTACTTCAAGGTTCCATTCAGGCTGTTTGGGAATGGTGGGTTGTTGTAGAGTAGCTGAAGGCCAGCTGAACTGCTCTTTAAAATATTCCGCCCATCGTTCTAAACGTCTGGACTGGGAGCAGATAAGAGTGTCATCTTTTTCCGAGATCGTCTCACACTTGACTTACTAATTCCAGTTTCTTTTATTAGTCTGTAGAGCTGTCTTGTGTTACCTATAGCCGCCGCCTTTTCCGTCTCTTTTGCTTCCGTTGCCCACCACTGCTCACGGTCGTTCCTTAGACTTTTGGTTAACCTAGATCTGATTTGTATTTGATCTTTATCGTGTTCAGAGCCTGATGGTATGAGTTTACGAGAATCCATCAGTGCAACAGACCTTGAAGGATTTCAGTGGTTCTTTGTAACCCTTTGGTTTAAATCACTAATAGATGTCACTGCTGTTTCCACAGCTGTTTGTATATCTTTTCAAGCAACATCTGGGTCAGCCTCGTTCTCAGAACTACCTAAGTGTGACCTCATTTGTTCCTGGAACCTACTTTTTTTCCTCATTACTCAATTCAGTTCTAATGGGTCTTTTTAGTGTGGCTTTTTTGCATCCAGTGAGGGGCAAGCAGATGCGTGCCCGTATTAGAGCATGGTCAGAGTTCAAGCAGGTACTCCAGAATGAGCGACAATCTTCTATCGACCATCTCCAACGATGACTGATGACAATATGGTCTATTTGAGTCCACCGTTGGTTTGATGAAGGGGGTCGCCATGTTAGACGATGTCTCTCCTTATGCTGAAAACTAGTGTTTGCTAAAAATAAACGATTGTCTGAGCATAGTTGCAGCAGACCATCATCATTATCTGTTCGCTGAGCCGGAATACTAAAGTACCCACCTAAGTGTCTTTCTGTTTGGTTTAAGCTACCTAATTGGGCATCAAAGTCACCTCCTACGAGTACTATGTCTGAACGTTTAGCTTTCTGTAAAATCCATCTCTCACTTCATCCGAGCTGCAGTCAGTGAGAGCGTAGGCAGAAAAGACAAAAAGGCAACGACGTGTGTCCCGATCTTTCCGAGTTCTTACAGAGCCTATTAACCGAACAGCACATAGACGACTGTTAACGGGGATCCACTCTAATAGTGCTTGTTCCACGAGAACTAGCCATCGGGTCGCCAGATACACGGAGAGTGTAGCTCGTCCGCTCTCCGTTTTGGCGAGGTGAGATCAAGTGAATGGCCACACTAGGATCCTGTATGCGTGTTTTTGAGACACAGTATATATCGATGACACGAGATTCTAGGATTTTAGCCAAGGAGGCCTGCTGACCGAGTTGACATAGGGTGAGTACGTTGAAGGCTCCAATGTGTAGTTTGTAGCGAGGTCCCAGTATACCTAGGACAGCATTTCGCGATCTAGAGTCGTCGGTCATGGTGACGCTTGAGGTGGAAGCCAGAAGAGGAAGTTTATAGTTGAAAGTCGATGTAGGGGGAATAATAGGTATTGATGATGTAGGTTGATTATGAACACAGTGGTCTTAAGTGGTGTTGATGTTGTGAGGTCGTTTGTCACTTCCCGATCGCCCGCAGCGTGGAAGGGTTCTTCTGGAGGTACCTGAAAAGAAAACTAGATTAGAGGTGGTCCTAGTGATCTGAGAGTGTGACTGCAGTGCCCAAGGGTCAGCTGCTTGAGGTCGGTCACGCACGACCTTTTTATGGGTAATTTTTGTGTTAGCTCCGTACCTGTTGAGATTTTACCGCCGGAGACGGATATCGTGGGATAAGGCGAGGTGTGCACTTTTAGGGTCGATCTTTTCTAACCCCACCCCTCCTTGTGGGAAGGCAGCATCGCTGTCATGCTGGTTGTCTGAAGGGAACACCTTACTGCTGTCACACCTCTGTACAGTCAGCAGTACGACTTGGCCTTCGGACCTTGGGTTTGTTGCTTTTAGTCTTACCGCTCTTCAACCAACCTGTCTGACATGGTAGGACCTTGAGGAACGGTTGTTCCAGCCAGTATAGCTCGGTTGCTTCATCACGATAGGCAAGCCCGACCACCGCGTCAAGGTAGCAACTACGGTCGTGTTATGCAGAAATAAATAAGATCTATCTCATTACTGTACCTCACTCAACGATATTGTTAGTTAATCGTGAATATTTTCGAAATACCAACTACTATAAACAATCGGGAACTGATAAAATTTTCATTTAGTTGTAGCTAGTCAAAGGTAGAAAACAAATCCTTAATATAAGGATTTTTAAATCCGCCAATATCGTAGATACCCAGTTAGTGTGCATAATCATATTCAGCAAACCATTAGATATAGGGTAATTACTATACACTTTACGGTGATCACGGCTATCAGGATATCAGATAATGAATGTAAAGGATGTAAAAAAGAAGAATATAGAGTGAAGATAAATGACCGGGTAAAAATAGCCGAACTCAGTTAAAACGAATGATAGAACTTGTAGTACGACACGTTATATAGAGAAACGAAACAACCTTAATACGCACCCATTAATTATATCTACCGTCATCTTACAAACAATAACAAAATAATCCTACGGTAGTGTTTGCAGGCAGTTTAACGGTATACATGTATTTGCAGACACTCCAGACCAGTATGTTCTTTCACTTGGAAAAATCTATTGCTAATTAAAACTTTCTCGAGTTCCATCATAAGCTTAGCAGAGATTCTATTATTGTTTTTTATGATGCATAGCTCGATTGTGGTTACAAAATTGATTGAGTAATACGTGAATTGGGTTTAAAGAATCTATGGAAAACAGCAAGCCAGCTAATGAAATTGCAAACCTACATTGATTGATGTGTTTAAGTCGTATGTAACACGTGCTAAACTACCTATCATCCAGATGCAATATAAGTAGGATGGTATTCTTTTAAGAGAGATTGCATGAAGACAGTATTGCACCATGAGGAAAATGAATAACTGTGAGATATAAGTGGGACTGTTTACTCTTTATATATGATAACGTAGAGTAGTGAAGCCCGGATTAAGAATGTTCAAAACTAATTACAGTAATGCAAATAAATCCATCCATTAGATTTATCGTAAATCTTTAATACTATATTATACAATGTCCACTTGCTTTTCGTTTTTGCCATGTACCAAAACTGTCAGTTCCTATATTGTTCGATAAATATAACTACCCACAAACATGATATATTTATAAAAACTGAAGACTAATGGAATCATAAACGTACTTTAGAAAGAGCTGATTTATCTTTAATAATATATTCGTAGGTTGTTAACAGTACATTGATTTTTGATGCTTTTATTTGTGTTTGAAGAAGTCGACGAGCTTGAGGTGAACCTTTATATAATATCTTTTTCACACTTGGTCCCCATCGATCGAACTCCATTGCCCAATTAGACATGACTCTACAATCGCAAAATCAATAAAGATCAAAAGACCTTTAAAGTGAATGTACCAAAAATAGATAGTTGCCAACAATTGTGTTATCTATGGCATATATAAATTCTAATAAAACTACAAACACGAGTTAGATAACACATGGTTGATTTTAACCACTTAGAAAGCAGAAATGGTTGAGTTAAGAAACAGAATGACAGAAACTGAGAGAACGGTAAGTAAAAATAAGTAAAATTTCTGTTAAAATAAGGAGCAGATTTACGTAAATAGTTTGGAAGTGTAAAACAAAAAACACATCTTTTACAGAATCGCGAACCCTCACTAAGTTTTGCCAAGTGAACCGCAAGGACCGACAAAAACGGATATCCTGAGTTTCAATTGATTGTAAAACCTTTGATCAAAAATACAATAAGTTGTGCGAATATATGAATAAGCAGAACAGAATAGGCAGTTTCTTATCTGTTTAATGACAAATATGAAAATGGTTTCAATACAATATGTAGATACAAGAGAATAAACAATTACCACAGAAAAATAAGATAATGAATGCAACGTAAACCTTAACTTACGAAAGCGGTACAATAATCAAGAACGGTCCATTAACGCGTTTCCTTTCCATTAGGTACGTAATCAAAGCGATTGTCTGAATCGTTTTACCCAGACCCATCTCGTCAGCAAGTATGCCATTAAGGTTATTGTTATATAATGAAACAAGCCACTCGAGACCCCTCAATTGATATTCTTTTAATCGACCATGGACAAGAATACTAGCTTGTTCTTTAACTTCTTCTCGTACAGCATGAGCAAGAGTATAATAGGATTGAGGTGCATTTGCACCAGATTCACCACGTTTATTATATTCATCATCTTCCGTCCCGACATGTACCATACTATTGTCATCATCATCATCATCGTCATCAAATTTACGTTTACGCTTGAACTCTTCGTCTGGTTCCAATAAGTCATGTATTACTGACCCGTCAGTATCAGTTGGAAGAATCTGTTAGGCAAATAATTCACAGAAAAATCTCAACTACATAAAAATTACTTTTCTTTGGATGAAATCTAACAAGAACGTACCCACAAGATTGTATAGTGAGGAATAAAAAACCAGGATTAGAATAGATTTAAAATACCAACCAATGAGAAGAAAATCATGATAACAGCACTTACAACAGCTTTCATTTGTGGATTATCTTTTGAGGCTTGGACTAGGCGAAAAAGCAGAGAGATAGTTTATTACACGGTGGTACGGCAACTAGAACTGATGTACGTACGTACGAAGTTCTACGTTGTTACTGACTAACTGACGGTGACGAGTCATGAAAGTTGAATATTGCTGGTATCCATCAGGCTATTACGATCCTAGAGATTCCGTAAATCAGTTGCGTAATTCATTAACAGACATGACAACGAAGTTAACAGCGATCCAGTTGTAACTTCGTTTTAGACTCTTTATGAAAGAGATGATTTTTCCTTAATTGAAAGTTTTACTTGTTTGTATTGTTAACTGCATTGTATCTACTCTAAACTTACTCGTTATCGACTGTAATCTATTGTCCTTCTTCATTTCTTCACGTTGTTGCTTTGCTTTGTGGAGCATATTAATTTTGGTGCTAGGTTGAACGAAATCTTACGTGGATTGCGAAATCAATAAAAATAAAATATAAATGTTCTGAAATTCAGGTCAATGACTTTTGAGTGGTTGCAATCTTTAGTTTTCTCTTCAAAAAAGTATAAGATGAAACTACTACTGACCAATCATATAGTTAAAAACGTAGACATTACGATATATTTAGACGTAGTAATTTTTGGAATTCCAAGTTTAATTTTACTGTCACTGACTAAATATTAATTCATTTGTCTGGAATTCAGTCACATTTTGAACCTATCTATTGTTAGAAAATTGGATGCTTCAATTGCCAAGTCAATGATTCATGTGGGTTAAAAACGAGAAGTGGAATGTCATAAAAATCTGAAAGTACTCGACAGAGATGAAATTTTGTCTTCTCTTTAATATTAAGGATTTGTTACAGTGCCATACGCCTCTACCAAGTGTTTTGCTTTCAATCAAATAAGCGTAAATTATACGTTTTCCTTCTGTAAATTAAGGGATATAAGTACTCTTATATCATTAAAACCTCTCCAGTTGTATCAGTACAATTAACTGATTGTAGTATTTAGCTTCACACAAAGTATATACGGATACGATCCTGATACGAGAGCCTAGATATAACTCATGATTTGGATTTACTTAAAATTCTTCCCTTCATTTTTTCAGCGTGTCATGACGAGTAACCAATAAGTATTAAGAACCAAATTAATACCTAAAAACAAAAGGGATACCAGCCTACCTCCCAGCCCTGGTGTTCTTGTAGCCAAGTGCAAACTTCTGAGGCTAAAGGAGCAGCATCACCTTCAACAATTTCTTTTGTTGTTGTTTGATACATAGGTATACGCACTTCAGGTAACTGGATGTTAGAAGACGACATTTTGCCACATAACCAGTCACGATTTACTTGATTAAGTTCTTCAGGAAATTTCTCAGTAGATGGAAGAGTAGAAAAATAGGCTGGGGGTTGTCCACCGTTTTTAATGACATCATCAGCCAATTTTCGATAGAATACAACAGCATTTTGCAGAGCTGATTCCTGTGCGAATTTTCTTCTTTCCGACCGTTCCCTAAAACGCTGCTTACTTTGCTCTCGTTTATGTTCACGAACAAGTTTAGTCAAATTACTAATAAATTCATCTGTTTGGGTGAGTAAATGATGAAGTCTCTGGTCTTTTTTTGCATCAATAAGACAGCGATAACCTTCCTCATCTTCAGCCATAAGACGTCGCATACGCTCACGATCAATTCGTTCTTGTTCTTTTCTTTTGTCACGCTCAGCATTGGCTTTGTAATTTAGAACGGCTTTGTTTATTTTCACCATTCTGCTGTTAACATTACGATGAAACTCTCGGAAATCTTTTCCGTGGCTAAGAACAGCATTCAGAAATTCTTGATGTTTTTGACGACGCCTTTTTTCTTGCTCATGTTTCATTTGTTTCTCCAATTTTTCCGTGAACCGGGCCTCTCGAAGAGTTTGTTTTTTCGGCCTTCTGTACGCCTTGACATTAAGAGCTGTCTCAAGGCTCGTGTCTCGGCGCATAGCTGACACTATGTCTTGCCTTAGTTGTCGCTGAAAATTCAGTAGACGCAAAGCACGAAGTTCAATCAATAATGATACTCTTTGTTCCGATGTACTAGATACAGAAAGACTACTTAGTTCTTTGATACGCTGCGCAATGCGAGACTGGATACGCTGTTCCCTCTCTTTTAGTAGCTCTACGGGATCCAAACCTTGAGGTCGTTGAATAGGAGTAAGTCTACTCCTTCCATATGTGCTAGTACCCCCAGGCAGAAAGGTTCCATTTGAAGATGAGGTTGTATATGATTGATAGCCTACTGGGGGACCTATACGTGCAGCCACTAAACTGGGTTGGATATTAGGTCTTACTCGAGATATTGCTAGGGCAGGATTCGCCGGATGGAATTCACTCTGAACGACAGACGACTGAGGAGACCCGACAAACGGCGAATTTTGCATGGAGTTTACAGAAGATTGATTCCATTGTTGTACAGGGACATTTGGTGCAGGTGGTCCACTCATAACAATAGGTGCATGGCTGAGTAACTGTCTTCCTTCGGCCGCTAGTAATAATGTTTCAGGGACTGGCTGGGATTTGGAAAGTAGCTTGAAAGCATTAATCTGTGCCCGCAGTTGAACCAACTGATCCTTCATAAATGGACCCTGTTGAACTGGTGCGACCGACATTCTCATTGGTCTTTCGTACATACAGAAAGTAAAAGAAAAAATTGGATAGTTTAGTGGAAAAACACATTTCATGTGAATCGATAGGCATAACAACGTATGACCTCGAGCTAAAAGGTTGATGAGCTCACAAACTTCATAAAAAGACAGAGAAAAAATAAACAAAAACAAAAAGACGTTGAAATGAAAGCGAAAGAAAAGTATTGTAAAACTAATTTACTTAGTTGTAACTTGATCATTTCCTTCTAGGGTAATATTAGTTTATCTCGCGCACTTATCATGAGACGACTGAAGTACAAATAATTATGTCCGTAAATGTTGGTTACTATCTTTGTACCATAAAAGAAGTATCACGAAGTCATATTTCAGGTTGGATAAAGTAGTTAATAGCTGGCACACACCGTTGTTGAAGAACAGTTCACTTTTAATATAGATCTATACCTATGTTCCGAATACGGTGTTGTTATTGTCCCTATAATGAAACAACACACTCCACCAACGACAAGACCGGATATATTTTGCGAGAACCAGTTTTCAAAAATGACACTTAAAATCCATTTTCCGGTTCATAAGGTATCTTATTTAGTGACTGCAAAGATCTTTCTCGAGAAACAAATTACAACCAGACATTTCAAAGAGAAATCGAACAAATCACTGAGTGTACTGATTTTTCACCCCTATCTACAAGGTCCTATCATACAAATAATTTACATTCCATAAATTTATTTGATAAACTGAAAGAGTAGAAAACTCATAAGTTGGTAATTGAAACCAATTTCGTAGCAGTTAAAGCCATTCTGAAAAGCCTGAAAGCCAAATGAAGGATAAAAAGCGACAAGGAAATGTCTTTTTGTAAGTTAAGGTAATAGATATGATACATAACAAAGCTGAAATCTAAAAGGTCTAAGTACAGACTGGTCAAATCGAAGACGGAAAACACCAAATTGGGCGCAATTGAGATTCAGATGTCCAATGGCTAAAATCATTGTAACTCTACAAAATGCTAATCGATTGCAGTACAGTCAGTCACTAATTCTAAATTATCTTATACTTCACACTACATATACATTTTCAAATAGTTTTTTCTTGGAGCAAGATAGTAGACTAGTATTCATATTTCTGTTCTCAACTGGAATTCATCTGTGGTTGTCTAGTCTCATGTTGAAACTGAGGTCTATGAAGGCAAGCGACACTTCCTTCGACAGGACGTTCCGCATTTTAGTCAACCTGTGTATAGTAATAAACTTACTCTCGCTGATAGGTATTAACATCTTCCACATTAGTCCGTGGTCCTAATGACCAAGTTTAACGAGATTCGTGGGATATTCAGATTCCTTTATTATTTTTTTATAATTCGTCGGACGAATTTAAAAGTGATTTTTTCGTATATCTGTTATCTATAGTTTCAGGATAGGCTACAAAGTGGAAGATTTCTGCACATCATACTGGACAGGTGGTTCTTACAAATGATGAACTACACGTTGAATGATCTTTGATTTGTAAATGTTTGAGTTAGTTATGTGGGTAAATCATCTAGATGAGCATGAATTCAATCTAGGTTCGAATCAATATTTTTCCTACAGAGACGCGTACTTAATTGATGGCCGTTTTTCGGAAGTGTCATTCTTTTGGACGAGTCGACGCAAAGACCAGTTTAGATGTGGCGATAGTAGCGTCTGAAGGGAAGTGTTTATGGTCATTATTGAAGAAGACTTGAAGTACTTTACTCTAGTTGTGTCATTCCCGTTTAACAAGATTATAGGAGGCAGATTACAAGAGTAGTGCGTCAGATATATTGTGTTAAAGATGTTTATCAAACAAAAGTTTTATATGGTTAATGTCATTCTCTTTCGGTCTAATCTCAGTGCACAATGCATCCATCTGTCCAATTAAAATAGAGCTAAGCACTTCTAATACGACATAATACTTGAAATGATTTAGCCTAGTCTATCATATGATAATCGTCCATCAGCCGTGCTGACATGTAATTACGTTCCCTGGTCGCTCTCAAATAACTAATCGCAACGTTTACTGATTTTTTAATTAGGTTGAGTGGTCGTATAGCAATTACAGCTATCTGTACACTAGCACCAGATTTTGTGGGAGCATACTGAAGAGAAAAACTGTGGTAACATCCTTTGCTTAAAAGGGCATAAATTGTCAACTAGAAAATGACAGAGTGACAAGTGATTATCAGAAATAATGTGGCTCGTAGTAGCTAACAGTACTGAAGCCAAGCAGAACCAACTGAACATAACCGTAAACACTGTATTTCCGGAGTCAAAACCAGCCGCAGAATTGTACTCAAAAGAAATAATTACACTAGTGTATACTTTGGACAACCTCAAGGACGAGTTTACATAATGAATGACGAGTAGCAACACGATTATTTATATACAATATACCATCAGGAACGGTGCGTGTTTCCTCTCCTGTAAAAATAGACATGGAATCTGCGTTTCAGATTGGCACTTCTAACTTTTCTTATAGCACTGAGTATACACCCAAAGTATAGAACAGTTTCACTTATGAGATCAGGACTGCTCACCGGTAGAAGTCGCACTAATAGGCAGTTGGTTGTATCAACATATTTACCTCGTGAAGACCAACGAAATAGATCATTAACATAAATATACCACAAGTACACATAACACCTTTATAATCGAAGTATGCCAACCCAGTCAAATCAGAAGTCAGAAATGAAGATATGTGAGGATATATTTGGAGGGCTGTTGATATATCGAAAAGTGTTTGGTCTAAGTTGTCTAACGAATGTACGAGATGCACAGCACGGTATACCCACTTGTGATCTAATAGAAACTGGTGACCAAGCGCCTTCAGCTAGATGTGTTCACGAAAAATAATCAGTGTCGAAAACTCACAGAACTATTTATCTTGAGTATTTATTTACTCCTACGACTCACCCCCTCACCTAGTGCGCTAGTGATGACACTAAAACGTAGTCAGCCAAAAGCGTAGGCACAACGAGCTTGTCGTCGTTAAACACACTTCAGATACCTTGCTATGTTTGGCATAATCTGATTGCCTTTCCCCGATATAAGGGGCTATATGGCGCAATATATAGCAATGAAAGTGTGTACCATGAAAATTTCTATTCGTTATAATCTTCGTGGTTTTTATTCTTTTCCGATCGTCTGGTAAAAAAAAGATTTGTATACACATGTATAAGTACACTCGTACGTTCGCATAGACAAAGAATGTGCGAAAAGAATGACAAACATGGGTGCGTATAGAATACATGAGATAGCGTAAAACACTTTGGCACAATGATTTCTGGCCTTGTTTGCCCTTTTTTGTCACAAGCAATCTAGACAGTACATCACTGTTAATTCATAGTGGCTGAGAAATGTGATAAAGATTTTTCAGAAGGATAAATTAACTCTAAAAATTCATGTTCTGTAACAATAGTGAATTTCTTTACAATTAAATATTTATGATGTAGTCTAACTGCCCGAAACACACAATGTTTCTCTCTGAGCTTGCGAATAACCTTGCCTAGGAACAGTAGGCCTGCGCTGGACACAGATTTCTGGTCTAACTTTCTGCTCTAAAACTGCATCAAATCCCACTGGTGATTTATCATTAATAGGTATGGAACGAAGACTTTTAAACTGAGCATGCAAAACAGCAGCACTACGAAGAAATTATAGTAGATATTGTATGTATGACTCTGGTTTCCCACCCTATTCAAATGAGTTTTATGTTAAGATTCTAAGTAAGCAAATAGTATACAAAAATTTCAGGAGGAAAATGGAATTATTATTGAAGAATAATCCACAGTTAATGTAGTTTTACTAGCTTTTCGCTGATAGTGTGTTTGTCAACGACTAGATATTTAAAACATTGCAAACCAAATGCATATAATAAACACTGATTTGGATTAACCGTAATACTCTTCTAAATTAAAAGAATCAACAAAGCAACAAAACTTCGAACATGAGCTGCTTTATCAGGATTATGAATCATAAAAACATAATAAAATCCAACCAACTCAAGGTTACTTACTACACTACTCATCAGTTATTGAAACACAAGTAGTAAAAAATTATGAAAAAACGAAATGTGGATGAATAACAAACATGATATATCTGTAATATCCCAATGTGTAGAAAAACTGAACTTTCTGGCACTTCATCACTCAATGTAATCTAATTCTACAGGGAATAAACAGACAAATTAACTCAGGCTTAAATAGTACAAAGGCACAAAGCAAGAATATCTGGTGCGATCAATAAAAAAGGTCTAACCAAGTTACTTTCATGTCATTTCGATCGAGGCGAATTACGTAAGGAGTGTCTGTATATTTGTATGTACGTATGTATATTAAAGGATGAAAAGATGTGACATTTGTGGATCAAAAGGACAAAGCTGAGTTTTTTGTAGGATAATGGTGTAAGATGTGACTAGAACCAGACATGGTAGCTCGGATGGATAGTTCAAGTTAGATGGGTAGTGAGGCCTTTTTTCTATTGAAGGCATCAGGATTAGGCAATATATAGAAAGCTTCAGTGACTCTATTTTCTTTATAGTTGTAAAAGCCTTAATATATTATCTTGAAGTTTTTAAGATCGACTTGAATATTATTGAGAATTGCATGGACTGCTATTGCCGATTCAATCCTCAGTCTTCTTAGTTCTATGGGGTTATTATGTCTTTTTTGTGAACCTAAGACGTTCTTTGTATCTTGTCACGATTTCACGAGATTATTCTCTGATATAGAAAACATCACAATCAACACAACCTCAATTGTATACATAATTCTGTGATGACATACTGTGGATTTTCTCCTCTAAGCGAACAAACGTATTTCTAAGGGTGTTTCTTTTTTTGTAACTTACTTTAATTCTGTGTTATTTTTAAAACTATTTGAGTTTCTTCTATCGTACCATGTTGGTATGGTAAAATTACAGTACAAATTCATGAAATTTTATTCACGTTATCGTTTAGCAGTAACATATTTTGTTTTATTTCATTTTTATTACTCTTTGTAGAAAAATTAATAAATTGTAAGACATTAATTACACGCTTTCATTATTTTTGTTTGTCGTTTTCAGATGTATTTATCTTGTTTGCATTTATAAAGAGTTCATGTCAACAAAATATCATCTACATATTCGAGACAAATTCGTGGTTTATTGTCATTGGCGAAAATTTCTTATTTTTAGCGTAACATAGACAGGCTGATTACAATCGGGGACACGGAGAAGATCCCAATGTTACTCCGATTGTGTACTTGTATAACTTCCCGTTTATAGTAAATCAGGCGGGATTAAATTACGATTTTAGATATTTATGATAAGACCTATGTTGAAAAACAGTCTGTCAGATAAAGTATTGCAAATAATTAGTAAACCATGAATCGAGTATCAGAAACTATACGCAGGAATACATGTTTATAATGATAAAAAAGTTATAATCTGTGAAACAGTGTGCTCCGTTGATTCTATAAAGCAAAGATACAGCCAAACAGAGAGGGGACTCATAGTATTGGTCCATAAATGGATCCCAAAAATTAACATTCATTATTCTTATAGGGATATAACACCTCCCCCTTTTTAAGATCCGGCTTTTAAATGTTCCGAGTTTATGCTTCCTCAAGAAACAGTATTGGATTCTCATATTCCCAAGTTAAAATTAATTTGACATTATTTAAAACATATTTGTCATATTGAACAGAGAATTTACTAAAAGTGATTACTGTGGCTGAGACGCATATACATCGACTTTGTTTTTGTTTAGCTAAAGTGTTCCGACATACCTGTTAGCCATCACAAACAACTAACGTGATGCAAGCGAATGACGTGCTCTCCGTTTTTCATGTTCATTATAACTAGTTACCTTATTAGTCCAATATGATGAGTTCAATTAAAGTCACTGAGAGAACTCTTAGACGTAGGGCAACTATTAACTTGTC